GGGGCTGCTAGAAGTATAGGTAATTAAAGACAATAAAGAATTGATAATAATGTATTAAAATTGAAAAAGAATTTATTAATTTGAAGCGTGGCACTGCATAGTGCTTACAATCTTTTTTATATTTGGCTCAAATTTACTTGTAGCAACACGTAAAACTGCTTCCAAACTATCATTTGCAAGGCGGTTTCGATTTTTTGTTTTATTATTATTTAGTATTGAAAAAGTTTGTTCACATATATAGGTAGAACCAAATAAGCTGGCACATTTCAGAGCGTTTATGCGCAACTCTTTGTACATATTTTTATCAATGCAGCGGTAAAAGTTCTGCAAGTCTCCTTCGTTGAATTTGTTGCGTAAATCTTGGTCGTTTTGAATGTCGATAATTTCTAACTGCATTGACTCTGGCGCATTTTCAACTGAAATCGTNGAGGACCAGAACGCTTCTTTAGCTTTGCAGCAGCCAGAAAGTTATCTCTGGTGAGACGACTACAAAACCTGACCACAATACCCTTAGGATTCGTTCCACGATTTTGATTTTGATTTCCAGGACCGTGCGGGACACGATGAGCTGCGTCCACATCCGTTGAAGACACAGGAACCCCAATAAAATCACCCATGGTTTTCAACACCATCAAAAGGTCTTCATTATCTTTTTCCGGAACGCCTTGTAGTTCTAAGTTATTTCTTCGGGAGTATTGTTCCAGGTCACCAACACGACCAGACAAATTATCTACTTGTTTGCGCAGCGACATATTTTCGGCATTCAGCTTATCTATAATCTTCAATTGATCCTGAAAGCGTTTCACAGTCGCCTCAAAATCTGTTACCCGCTGACTACAAAATTGTACCGACTCAACCAATTCATCATATCGTGAAGTCATTCTCTGCATTTCTGTTCGCATTTCTCCAATCATCTCGCAAACAGTTTCAAGGGTGACAGAAGAAACATGATCGGCAGGAGTACCAGGAGGGGCACCAAAGGAATGAGATAGGCGTCGCGACGCCACCGGCGGCGGCGATCTGCAAGTGGAACACCTCCATGATGCGCCAGCGACCGATAAGGCGACCGCAGACTCTCTGGCGATATCCACGCATTTGGCATGAAACCACGCCCGACAAGCGTCACACTGAACTCCAGGGGTGTCTCTCCCCACCAGTTGACTACACCTCCCACAAAATTTCTTCTTCACTGGCATAACGACCGGTTTTATCGAGAAACAATTAATTATTATCAAGAAATTATCATTTCTTTTCCAGGGCGATAAACAATATCGAAATCGTATTCATTTAATAATAAACTCCATCGATAGACACGGTTATTGTCTATTCTCCCCTGTAAAATACTGATGAGTGCTATATGGTCTGTTTCTATAGTGAATTTTTTTCCTAGTAGAAAATGTCTAAGTTTAGTAATTGAATATATTATAGCTAACATTTCTTTTGACGTTATGGAGTATTTAATTTCGCAGGGTTTTAAAATTCTTGCTACAAATTGTATAGGAACTTCTTTCTCTTCTATGCCTTGTAACAGTTCTCCGGCGATAGCAAAATTTGAAGCATCACACTTTAAAATAAACGGTATGAAAAGAAAAATGAAATTTTTCTTGATATTTTGGAAAGCTTCTTTGTTCAGAACTTTACGTTTATTTTTTTATATATAATATTAATTATTATTTTAATTACATTTCAACCTTTTTTTTTAATTTCTTTATTTCGTTGCCTTAACTCGCAACCCGCGTTGTACATAAATCTATTATAATACCTTATTTGTTGTATATATTTCATGTTATTTGTTGTAAATATTCGAAATTCGACCATTTGTAAACCTGTTTGTACGGTATATATTCGATGTCCTGTTCTTAATAAATCCTCTTGTTGTCCAGTCTTCAAGCGTTTTGGAAGTTAAAAACCCGTCCCGAATTTAAAGGTCAGTGAGTTATAAAATTAGTAAGAGAACAATTAAGATATTAATAATTAAACAATTTTAAACAATTCACAAGACAGTTCAGTTGTTCGGACCGCGAATTTTAATCGTTCGTGTCGTGTTTAACGTTTCTGGGATTTATTATCTCCTTCATTATTTCTTTGAAAGCTTGTGTCTTATTGATTCACATTCTAATAATAAAGACTATATTACCGTGTTTTTCCATTTATTCTGATTTGCGATGTCAAAGTCCGGTGATAGAGAAAAGGACTCAGAATCTGTATTCGAACGTCAAAATGACTTATTCGGTTCGATTTTGCGTACTATTACGAATATTAAAAAATTGGCATTGCCAAAAAGAACTGTCGGTATCGTTCAAGCGCGATTAGAGGGGTTAGCTGAGTGTTGTGAAGAATTCAAAACAAATCATTTATTCCTGCTCCAATATCGCACTACTCTTTCCGAAACGGTTTATTTCAAAGAGGATGTTTTCACTTCATGTGAAGAAGCTTATATCGAAGCTAAAGGAGCTATCTTCGAGTTCCTCCGAGAGCTAGAAACCCCTGCATCTCCATCTCCTCCACCGGCCAACGTCTCGACTGACACCAGTACAACGTTGCAACCTCGTCAATTGCCTCGTATTAGCTTGCCTGTTTTTAATGGAGCTTACGCGGAATGGGCTCAGTTTCGTGATTTATTTGTTACAATGGTCTCCAAGAATCCCAATCTTTCCGGGGTAGAAAAGTTCCAGTATCTAAAAATGAGTTTGGTGGATGAACCAGCTCAATTAGTTAAAAATCTTTCAATTACTAACGATAATTTTGATAGAGCCTGGAAGTTGCTTGTCCATCGCTACGAAAATCTTCGAATTTTAGTCGATACTCAGGTGGCACGTTTATTTAACACAAAAAATATCAAAAATGAATCCGCATCAGAACTAAGTCGCCTCATCGCTGAAATCGAAGAAGCTTTAGCAGCTTTAGAGTCCTTGGGTTGCGATATCAAGCACTGGGACCCCCTACTGGTTTATTTGGTTGTCAAGAAACTCGATCAAGATTCCATGAAGGATTGGGAAAAATCCGTTGGCGATCATCGAAATCCCTCTAAGTACAGCAAATTACTTGAGTTCCTTTCGTCGCGTGTATTAACTCTCGAGGCTATCGAGAAAAATTCTAGCAAAAAACCTACAAATATCAATATTGGACTAAAAAATTCGAAAAATTTTCATGTCAAATCGCATAATGCCTCACCTTACACTTCTCGTTGTGCGTTGTGTAACAATCCACATTACTTGTCCCGATGCCAAAATTTTCTATCAAAAAATCCAAAACAAAGATCCGAATTCGTCATGGGGAAGAAACTTTGTTATAATTGTCTTGGCTTTCATTCCATTACAACTTGTAAAAGCGAAAAAAGGTGCAGAATCTGCCAAGATCAACATCATACAGTTTTACACGAACTTCCTCCAGAAAAATTAAACAAACCTTCAACAGTTATATCGAAACCTCTTGCTACTAACACATCAAATTTGCCTTCAACAAGTCATACAGTACATTCGCTTCACATAAACACTCCGGTTTTACTAGCTACTGCTTTAATACAAGTTTTGTCTCTCCATGATGAATCCTTTACAGTCCGCGCATTGATTGACCAANTTTTCCGCCAGAAATATTCCAATTTCTTCTATTAAATTTAGAAATCGTTCCAGTGTCAATCCACGACTTAGCCACCTTACTTCTGTATAATACAGTAAATCTCCATATTCGCTTTCGATGTCATCAAGGAATTGTTTGAATTGCCTGTGATTGAGTCCTCGTGATTTTATGAAATTTACAGTCGAAACTACCACTTTCATGACATTTTGAAATTCAATTTTTTTAGAACAGAGGGCTTCTTGGTGTATAATGCAGTGAAACTGCATGAGATCTTCAGCGTTTATGTTTTTTTCTTGCAGATGCTTTTTCAGCAAAGTAACTAGCCCGGAATTGACACCAATCATCGAAGGAGCACCGTCAGTCGCAACTCCCGATAATTTTGATAAGTCCAAATCAGTTTTTGAACACTCATCCAAAAGTACATTGAGTATATCAACTCCTTTGGTTTGACCTTTCAATGAACACATTCCTAATAACTCTTCTAAGACTTCAAAATCTTGAGTAACACCTCGTATGAATATGAGAAGTTGAGCTGTGGAACTAATATCAGTGGATTCGTCGAGTGCTAATGAAAAAAATTCAATGATCTTAGTTTTTTCAGTTAATTGTTCCGCAATATTACCTGATAAAGACATAATTCGTCTTTGGATAGTGTTCAGAACTTTACGTTTATTTTTTTTATATATATTATTAATTATTATTTTAATTACATTTCAACCTTTTTTTTTAATTTCTTTATTTCGTTGCCTTAACTCGCAACCCGCGTTGTACATAAATTAATTATAAAACCTTATTTGTTGTATATATTTCATGTTATTTGTTGTAAATATTCGACATTCGACCACTTGTAAACCTGTTTGTACGGTATATATTCGATGTCCTGTTCTTAATAAATCCTCTTGTTGTGCAGTCTTCAAGCGTTTTGGAAGTTAAAAACCCGTCCCGAATTTAAAGGTCAGTGAGATATAAAATTAATAAGAGAACAATAACGAATAATTCGCAAGATTAATAAACATTTTGGTCCTTCGAGCCGGATTCATCTCGCTATTGAATCGAAAATCGAATTTTGTCAATTTTACACAATAAAAATTAAAAGACGGCGTGATCTTCGACGGCCATATTAAAGGTCTCGCTCGGTCGGGTTTTTCCATTTAAAACGCTAACTTCCCCCTTCTAAAAAGGGAACTTATAGTGATATTAATAATTAAACAATTCACAAGACAGTTCAGTTGTTCGGACCGCGAATTTTAATCGTTCGTGTCGTGCTTAACGTTTCTCGGATTTATTATCTCCTTCATTATTTCTTTGAAAACGTTGCAACTGCTCTCGAACAACAATCCGCGCGCGTCTTGTGTCTTATTGATTCACATTCTAATAATAAAGACTATATTACCGTGTTTTTCCATTTATTCTGATTTGCGATGTCAAAGTCCGGTGATAGAGAAAAGGACTCAGAATCTGTATTCGAACGTCAAAACGACTTATTCGGTTCGATTTCGCGTACTATTACGAATATTAAAAAATTGGCATTGCCAAAAAGAACTGTCGGTATCGTTCAGGCGCGATTAGAGGGGTTAGCTGAGTGTTGGGAAGAATTCAAAACAAATCATTTATTCCTGCTCCAATATCGCACTACTCTTTCCGAAACGGTTTATTTCAAAGAGGATGTTTTCACTTCATGTGAAGAAGCTTATATCGAAGCTAAAGGAGCTATCTTCGAGTTCCTCCGAGAGCTAGAAACCCCTGCATCTCCATCTCCTCCACCGGCCAACGTCTCGACTGACACCAGTACAACGTTGCAACCTCGTCAATTGCCTCGTATTAGCTTGCCTGTTTTTAACGGAGCTTACGCGGAATGGGCTCAGTTTCGCGATTTATTTGTTACAATGGTCTCCAAGAATCCAAATCTTTCCGGGGTAGAACAGTTCCAGTATCTAAAAATTAGTTTAGTGGATGAACCAGCTCAATTAGTTAAAAATCTTTCAATTACAAATGATAATTTTGATAGAGCCTGGAAGTTGCTTGTCCATTGCTATGAAAATCTTCGAATTTTAGTCGATACTCAGGTGGCACGTTTATTTAACACAAAAAGTATCAAAAACGAATCCGCATCAGAACTAAGTCGCCTCATCGCTGAAATCGAAGAAGCTTTAGCAGCTCTAGAGTCCTTGGGTTGCGATATCAAGCACTGGGACCCCCTACTGGTTTATTTGGTTGTCAAGAAACTCGACCAAGATTCCATGAAGGATTGAGAAAAGTCCGTTGGCGATCATCGAAATCCCTCTAAGTACGAATCTCTAAGTAGCGAATTACTTGAGTTCCTTTCGTCGCGTGTATTAACTCTCGAGGCTATCGTGAAAAATTCTAGCAAAAAACCTATTATTAATATTGGACTAAAAAATTCGAAAAATTTTCATGTCAAATCGCATAATGCCTCACCTTACACTCCTCGTTGTGCGTTGTGTAACAATCCACATTATTTGTCCCGATGCCAAAATTTTCTATCAAAAAATCCAAAACAAAGATCCGAATTCGTCATGGGGAAGAAACTTTGTTATAATTGTCTTGGCTTTCATTCCATTACAACTTGTAAAAGCGAAAAAAGGTGCAGAATCTGCCAAGATCAACATCATACAGTTTTACACGAACTTCCTCCAGAAAAATTAAACAAACCTTCAACAGTTATATCGAAACCTCTTGCTACTAACACATCAAATTTGCCTTCAACAAGTCATACAGTACATTCGCTTCACATAAACACTCCGGTTTTACTAGCTACTGCTTTAATACAAGTTTTGTCTCTCCATGATGAATCCTTTACAGTCCGCGCATTGATTGACCAAGGGTCGGAAGTGTCATTTATCAGTGAATCACTGGCTCAACAGTTACACCTTCCTACGTGCAGCTTGTGTTCCTATTAATGGAGTTGGCTCAAAACGCACATGTACTTCAAACGGGCTTGTTTCCATTAAATTGGTGTCTCGATTGAATCCTTCAATTTCATTTCTTGAAGAAACATTGGTGTTACCAAAACTAACAACTTATCTTCCAAAGCGATTGTTAAAAAAATAAAAAATAAATTACCAGTTGAGGTGAAGAATCTTCCTTTAGCCGATCCAGATTTTGAGTCCGATAAACGAATCGACTTAATCCTTGGGGTACGGTTTTATTCCAAGATTCTTTTAAATCAAATTAAAAAATTCAATAACAATCTCATGGTTGCACAAGAAACTTCTATTGGCTGGATTCTTTTTGGAGCGATCGATTGTCCGGCTGCAACTAACAACACTGTTTACGGGTTTCAATGTTCAGTTGACCGAGCTCTGATTGAGACTATTCAAAGATTCTGGAAACAAGAAGACGATTCCCTTCCTGAACACCGATTATCATCAGATGAACGTGATTGCGAAAATCACTTCCTTCAGACATATTCTCGCGAAGTTAATGGTTGTTTCATGGTGCGGTTACCTTTCAAAAAATCCCCATCAACACTCGGAAGTTCTTATGATCTCGCAGTGAGCTCCTTTTATCGTTTGGAACACCGATTTCTGAAAAATGAAAACCTTTCAGCTTCGTATCACGAATTTATGAATGAGTATGTTTCGCTTGGACACATGATCCCCATATCAACGAATGCAAATATTCCGAATTATTACTTACCTCACCACGGTGTTATTCGCGAGTCAAGTACAACCACGAAATTAAGAGTAGTTTTTAATGGATCAGCTCAAACTTCTAACGGTGTTACACTGAATGATTGTTTGCACATTGGACCCAAGTTGCAGACCGAGTTGGTAGATGTTCTTCTTCGTTGGCGAAGACATAGAATCGTATTTGCTTGTGATCTGGAAAAGATGTATCGCCAAATTAAGATCCATTCCGATGATTTACATTACCAACGAATAGTTTGGCGAGATAGCCCTTCGGAAGAAATAAAAACTTACGAATTGACCACAGTCACTTACGGTTTAAATTGCGCTCCGTTTTTGGCTATTCGTTGTCTTCGTCTGTTAGCAGAGCAACATTCCAGTGATCAACCAAATGGTGCAGCGATTCTTCTGAAGGATACCTACGTCGACGATATTTTGTCAGGTGCGATAGTGTTTCTGAAGCCCAGAAAGTCATATCTCAAGTACAAACGATTCTTATGGCGGGCTGCTTTCATGCTCGGAAGTGGATGTCGAACCATCCAGACGTTCTCGTACAGCTTTCCCCAAGCGATGTTTCTCATACCGTAACAGTAGATTTAAGAGGGGATGATGCCCCAAGGGCTTTGGGATTGATCTGGAACAATGAAACTGATGAATTTTTGTTCGTGTTGAGTCAAGCGAGTGAAACTTTGAATAGACTTACCAAACGGTCGGTCCTTTCCTTCATCGCGCGTTTGTATGATCCCCTCGGTTTATTATCGCCATTTATAATCACCGCGAAGATCTTCATGCAAGAACTCTGGATCCTTGGTCTCGATTGGGACGAGGAGTTTCCTTCTGATCTAACTAAAAATTGGATCTCGTTTTTAAAAGACTTTCACAATGTCCCTGCTATTCGCGTTCCGCGTTGGATTGGTACTCATAATAATACCAATTCCGTAGAGATCCACGGATTCGCTGATGCTTCAGTTCGTGCGTTCGGTGCGGTCGTTTACTTGCGTGTGGTTGATGATCCAGGACTTACCCGAGGCCCGCTGGTCTCACGTTTCATCCAAAGACAACCCCGCCGACTTGGTTTCCCGTGGAGTTCCTGATTTACAACTTCAGGACAACTCCCTCTGGTGGCGCGGACCTTCTTGGCTCTCCTAATCGTCCACCTGCTGGCCTTCTCTACGACCTTCTTCTTCACCAGACGCTGATAATGAAAGACGTTCCAGAGTGACTGCTCATGTTGGTGCCGTTTCGAACTGGGGTTTGAAAACCAAATACTCATCTTTAATCAAATTATTACGAATAACTGCTTGGTGTTTTCGATTTGTTAATAAACTTAAAAGAGACTCTGTTTCAGGCTCGCTTTCTCCTGCTGATATTGATTTTGCTCTTTTGTTTTGGGTTCGCGAGGAACAACGAATTCAATTTCAACAGGAAATTCATGATCTTAAGGCCGGAAAACCGATATCCAAATCAAGCCCTTTATTTCGACTCACCCCGTTTATTGATGGTAATGACATCCTGAGAATTACTGGACGTCTCCGATTCGCTTCTCTTGATTGGGACGAGAAGCATCCGATGATAATTCCAAAGACTTCTCATCTGACAACATTAATCATCGATTCACATCATCGGAGGACTTTTCATGGTGGTACTCAGCTCACTTTGTCATACATAAGGCGACGGTTTTGGATAGTTGGAGGACGGATTCCGGTACGATCATTCATCCAACGATGTATCGTTTGCGTGAGACTCCGAGCCGAGACCAGCCAACAATTGATGGGACAGCTACCGCCCGCACGCGTAATTCCATCGAGGCCGTTTTTGCATACAGGAGTCGACTATGCTGGTCCCTTTTTATTGACAACATTTCGCGGACGAGGTTGTAAATGTTATAAGAGCTATTTAATACTGTTTGTTTGTTTAGCCACCTCGGCAATCCACTTGGAGGTTTCTACTGACTATTGGACCGCTGGATTCATGGCAGCCTATAAGCGTTTTACTGGACGCCGTGGATTGTGCCAGTGTTTATACAGCGATTGCGGAACCAACCTCGTCGGCGCGGATCGAGAATTGAGATCGTTGTTCTCCGCGGCTTCCAAGGACTGGAAAGGGGTTGTCGACTTATTAAGCAATGATGGAACTGGGTGGAAATTCAACCCACCTGCAGCACCTCATTTTGGTGGAAAGTGGGAGGCTGGGGTCCGATCCGTGAAAAACCATCTTAGAAAAGTTGTCGGCTCCACTCTACTAACCTACGAAGAATTTACAACTGTTCTAATTGAGATTGAGGCTATTTTAAATTCGAGACCACTTTGTGCTGTTTCAGATGATCCGAGTAACTACGATGTAATAACACCATCCCATTTCTTAATCGGATCATCTGGTTCCGTAGTGCCTGAGCCGTCTCTTCTGGATGAAAAGGTATCCCGCCTCACTCGATATCAACATCTCCGACGTTTGGTTGAGGAATTCTGGAAGAGGTGGAAAGATTTCTATCTTCTATCTGTACAAAACTCAACTAAATGGTTCAAGGGGAAAAACTTACCGGCTATTGGAGATTTGGTACTAGTTAAGGATGAACGATTGCCCCCTTCGAAATGGCTTCTAGCAAGAATTACTGAGCTTCATCCTGGAAAGGATGGTTTGGTTCGCGTAGCTACCATAAAGACTTCAACTACCACTTTAGTTCGACCATTGGTGAAATTATGTTTACTTCCTTGTTAAAAAAAAAAAAAAAAAAAAAAAAAAATTAAAAAAAATTAACAATTTCCTTGCATATTGTTAACGTAAAATTTTCTATTTTTAATGTGAATTATATGAGTACTTACGTTCAAACTTTAATTTTCGTTCAACACATATTAATAACCGATTCATTTCACTATGTACATTGTATTTGTTCCTTTTACTGGCAACTTTAGCATTCAAATACTTTGCAATACAGTCACTTAATTTCATTGCGCATATTTTCATTTCGCTGAATCATTCAGCTGATTTTCATTTAGGAGAATTCTGATCTACTACTCTGTATTCAACCCACGTTTGGTACCCCTTCTAGATTGAAGGTCGCGGCGCCGCGGTACAATAATGAAGCACTATGCCTTCTTCCGTTTTCCGTTGNTGATTTATGAACAAATTTTCGGCTTAGAATATCTGGTATTATCATTTCTTTTCCAGGGCGATAATAATAAACTCCATCGATAGACACGGTTATTGTCTATTCTTCCCTGTAAAATACTGATGAGCGCTATATGGTCTGTTTCTATAGTGAATTTTTTTCCTAGTAGAAAATGTCTAAGTTTAGTAATTGAATATATTATAGCTAACATTTCTTTTGACGTTATGGAGTATTTAATTTCGCAGGGTTTTAAAATTCTTGCTACAAATTGTATAAGAACTTCTTTCTCTTCTATGACTTGTAACAGTTCTCCGGCGATAGCAAAATTTGAAGCATCACACTTTAAAACTGTAAAATCGGGTTTAAATAAGAGCAATTGATTAATGAAATTTTTCTTGATATTTTGGAAAGCTTCTTCTTCTTCTTTCTTCCATCTCCAAACTACATTTTTCTTCAATAAACGAAGTAGAGGTAAAATTTTCTCGGCATATTT